GCCCCAATGTTGTTTAGTGTTAACGCAATGTCGGGATGTGGCGTTGTTTCGCCATAGACATCTCTCTTTATCTTCAGTGACTGTTCGTGATATCTGATAGCTTTCCTCTGATCGCCTAGCTTACTCCAACAAACTCCAATGTTATGTAGTAATGAAGCAATGTCAGGATGTGGTGTTGTCTCGCCATAGATAGCTTTCATCATTTTCACTGACTGTTCATTATAACTGATGGCCTTCCTTTGATCGCCAAGATGACTGAAACATGCCCCAAAATTTCCAAGTAAAGAGGCAAATCTGGGACGCCTTTTGGTGTCTCCGTCAATAGTATTTCCAATAATAATTGCACGTTCGTAGTAGCTTTTTGCTATCTCATAGTCACAACGCCTGCAAGAGGCACCGCCTAATTCACAAATTACTTCGAACTGTCTTTCCTCATCATCGCCCGCCTCTTTCAGAGCTGCCTCCAAGTGACGTATGGATGCGTCTAACTGGAACAGCTGTTGTTTTATTAGACCCCTAGTTAGAGATGAGGTTTCAAAAATTGCAATTGGTAATGTCTTTGTATCTTCATTTTCCACTGCAACTATAGCTGCCATGCATAGTTTTAATGGAATGGCTGTATAGTAGTACCTGAACAACATTTTAGAGTCTGGTATGTAGAAAACTGACTGAACAAAAGTGTCATCTACGTCTTGTTCCCCCAGTTGGGTTTTCATCTCCGTGAGAGGAGACAGTGTGTCCTTCTGTCCTCCGTTGGCAATGTACGTTCTTAACCGTAGCTCCGCTGAGATGCTGATCAGTACAGTCAAGTGGTGGGCATCTTCGTCACTGATCCGCTGTGTCTTCTGTAACTCTTCTATCGTTATCCACACACTGGGGATCGTGATACCACAGCAAACACTCAACACATCAACGGCCACGCTGGGAAAACGGTAGATTTCTTTCTTGACATTCAGAAGTTGTCCCGTTGGCTCAGAATGTTCTAATTCTATTTGCCGAATATCATCTTCAAATGAAGCTGACAAGCGTGACAGTACAGGGGAACGGTCTAAGGTTTCATTGACTCTGTTCGTATAATCCTCCACCAAAGACTCGTCTCCTGTTAAGTAGGTCACCCGTCTGAGGATGTCTGACAGGTGATAGCCTTCCGCCAGGGCAATGTGCAGATGCTGATATTCGGCCAACTTGGAGGGAGTCTGGATGAGACTAACGGGAGGTTTGCCTTTGGTTTCGTCTCTTCCAAACGGAGTTTTAGAAGCCCATGGCATGAAGCCGTCGAAGGCGAAGCCGCGAGGTGTGACGGAGTCGTAGAACCAGTTTTTCTCTGGGTCCTCTGAGAGAAAGTCGTTGAGTGACGGGATGGCCATGGCTGGGAGGATGGTTTCCCCAAGGTTGATGACTTTGAGATGTAAGTAGTGTGTGAGATTTAGGAAGTAGCTCCGTGTATCATCATCATCCTTCCCCTCCTCAATCAGAATGGCGAACTCCAGGTCGGAGTACGGCGTCACCAGTTCTGTGGCTTGTGACCCCAACCCGACGAAAGCGTACTTACAGGGAGGAGGTCCGAGTTTGGCGATGCATTCATCTGTCAGTACTTGGATAAACTCTTTTCTTTCAACTGTGATGCTCTTGAACAAGTTCTTGATTGCTTCAGCTCGTTTGATCTCTACCTCTCTCACGACGGGATCGTCTTCATCATACTGATAAGGGTTGTGTTCCTGACGAATTATTTCGAGCTGAGATTTTGCACGGGCGCGCGAGTTGTCCAGTTCCTTTCTGTGATCTAACGCGCTGCTATACGGACACGGTTCACAGTCAAGGTTACAGGTGTTTCTAAGAAACTGTCTTTCTGTTTCTTGCAGTCTTGTTACCATGTTTTGTTTGTCTCCACCTGTTCTGGCCATGGAGGCGTTATACAGAGCTGCCGCCTGTGTGAATTTCCTACCTTCTCCTGTCCGCTTACCTCGCTCGACGTAGACGTCACCCAACCTGCACAGACAGTCGGCTTCTTTAACCTTGTTGGGTTTACTTGGGTCTGTTGGTAAGGGGAAGAAAAAAATGACTCCAACTGTTAAATTCAACTTTGAAGGATGATATTTGTGTCATAACTGGTGGTTTTACTTTAAAAAAATAACACAAAAAATAAGATAAAATTTTGGAAATTCTATGATTAGCCATGAATTAATGGTGTTTTCAAGGAATCTGTATAACAGACCGTGAACCAGCTTCAGGGCGGCTGCTAGGTTCGTCTCTGCTGCGTCCAGGTCTCCATTTCTCACGTGAAGGTCTGCCGTCTGGATGTACCTGCGGTAGGAGCTGGAAAAGATAACAAACTTTGTAAATGTGGTTTCGCAAAGACGAAAAATGCACTAGACCAGTCAATGCAAATGGCTCCATGTTCCTATCTATGAATTTGAAGAAGAGTTATTTTGAGTTGAAACAGTTAACAACATATCAGACATAAAATCACTAACATGTCGTCGTCCTCTTGACTGGTGGTCTCGTCGCTAGAGGGCGCAGCTGAGAAGGGAGAGAAGTGGCCCTTCCGTCCTCTCACGTCTTGTTGTTTTTGCGTACGTGTTGCCCTTTGCTAGAGCCGATAGAAAGTACATGATTGACAGATTATCGATTATACAATTGACCTTTGACCAATGGTCAAAGTTGAAGGACGCTACGTGATACGTAAAAGGTCATCATGTTCCATACGTGCTGACCTCTATAAAACCCGATAAGAAGTCATGAATGATTAAAAAGATGTAAAATCGTGTTATCTAATGCACAATTATACTTTTAGCAATTGTCAAAGGTAAAGGACCTGACATGATCCCATTGGGCACAATAGACTATAGACGCAAAGCGTGAATATTCTCAGCTTCTTGAATCTTGAACGATTCTGTCCTTAAAGATACAGAATTTACTGAACTCAAAACTTTATCAGCTAAGGTAAAAAAATGACAATAGGCTAGGGTAAAAATATAATTTTTCTGAAGCTGATATCAGTCTAAAGGCAAAATTTTCTACCTCATCATGACGCTTGTGCTCTTGGCTTCCCCAAATTTCTACTTAATTCACTTACCTTGTTCTTTGTTGTGTTGACGCCTTGCCTGATTTTTGCGGTGTGCAGTAAGCGGTGAACAATGACAACTGTTCCATGAACGTTGTGACACCGCGCCAGTGCCCTGTTGTACAGAGCAGTAGCTCTAGTTAAGTTTCTAGTGTCTCCAGTTTCTGTTCCTCTTTTCAGGTACACGTCACCCAGACTCTTGATCGCTTCTGTTTCTAACATGCTGTTGTCTTTTACTATCGCCTCTACCATCACCTGTGCGTATCCAACCAGCAAAGAGTCTGTGTTACCTCCGGTAGCCCGTCTCTTGTCCAGGGCTTGAAACTTTGCCGCTACCTTTGCAGGTGTAGTCGTCTCCTTGTCTTCAGTTGGCTGTTCCTTACCCTGTGACGACACTCCTTGTAAAAGCCTCTCCGTGTAGTGGTAGCGGTGTTCTATACCATCTGCCTGTTCTTCATGATAACACCGTACCATAGCGGCCAGATAAAGCGCCAAGGCCGTGTTGAACTTCCCCACGTCCTTCCCGAGTCTTTCCTTCTCCACGTTCACGTCGCCCAGAGTTTTGAGCAGCTCCACTTCCGCCAGCCTGTCCGTGTCGGCCATGGCGTCCACCAGGGCACGGAGGTAGCCTGTCTCCGCCCGGGCTAGTCCGTACCTCCTGCCCTTCTCGTCCGCCTCACGGAGTTTCTCACACACCCGCAACATGGCGACCCTCCGCTGAGAGAACGTCTTTAAAACTGTTCCCCGTTCTCCGTGTTGGCTTTATGCGCGTGACTCGAGCAAACACAGGTCTGGACAAACATCCCGCTGCTGGTGTCAGCATTACATCATCCCTCAGCCGATAACAAAGTTCAAAAGTCCAGTTACTACACTAAAACATCGATAATCCTCGTAAATATGTCAGGTGGCATGTGGTATTGTTTTTCTATCAATCAAATGTGATTGATGCTAAGTCTCTGACTCACACAGTGGTTGCTAGGAATGAGGTGTTAACAAATTAATGTAGAACTATCGAGGTTTCCAAACATCTGCACTATTTTTGCCAAAAGCACATAAAAGACGCAGGCAACTATAGGTAAATATATTTACCACAGCAGTTTAATTTGATCCATTACAACAAAGCACAATACAGTATATACTGAACTACATCAACTGAAATCTAGTTTAATTTGGTCCTTGGTCCATGAGCATACATGTAGGCATATTGGCATCCGAACAATACAAGAGTTTTAAAAAGGGCATAGAGCCTTAAGTCTCCTGTCTCCTGGCGACAATCTTAAACACTGCAGCTGATTTAAACACAACATTAAGTTTTATGCTTCAAATGCATAGGAGACTATACAGTACATTACACTCAAGATTGCAAGCGGCGTTGTCATCCCAAAACCCAACATTACAAAAAGTCGGTTCCTCCGTCTTCCTCTGTCTCAAAATAGACGTGAAATGTAGGCATGCATTTAGAAGCTAGCTCGTTTTAGTTATGCAATATTGTTGCCACTGTTTCTATATCTCTTTGTTAAATTTTCGTTTTTGTACTTACTATTCGACCTTGGGTAAAGCTTTGAAATAAACAATAGCATATTGATGACTTGCGGATATGGAGACGTTTGCTAACATGCGTCGCTTTAGTCGCAAGACTTCCACGAGCCGTTATACACGGCAGTTTTGGAGCAGCATTCTGCAATTTATTGTAGAGTTTGAATTTCCTATGGGTTAAACAATGACGTACAATCACTTGCCAATGGGTAAATAGAGACCTTTGCTAAGATACGTTGGTCGCGACGCCTTAGTCGCAAGACTTCCAAGAGCCCTTTAATATACACGGCAGTTTTGGAGCACCACTCTACATGTATATCCCATAACCCATTCTTTACGCACACAATAACACATTGAATTTCCCTTAAACAATAACGTATAATACGTTAGTCTCCGCGCTTTAGTCGCAAGACTTCCAAGAGCCGTTATACACGGCAGTTTTGGAGCACCACTCTTTATCCCAGTCCACCTTGGTACAGGAGCAGTACGTCTGGTTCTTGTACACAAACGGGAAGTGGCAGCTCGCTGAGGAAGGGAACAAAAGAGTCGGATGAGTGATATTTTTTCTTTTCCTTTCAGGATATGATATTTTTAATGATTTGAAGCACCTGGATGAAGAAGTATCATGTAGCCCGGGCTATATGATATTCATAGCAAGAGAAAGGAATGAAGAAGGAAAGATAAGGAAGAAAGAGAGAAAAAAGAGAAAAGGAAAGAAAGAAGGAAAGGAAGAAAGAAAGAAGGAAAGAATTTGAAATAGATAAACTTAAGAAAGAAAGAAAGAAATAGATAAACTTAAGAAAGAAAGAAAAAGAAGGAAAGAAACTTGAGAAAGAAAGAATGTCTCACCTTTCTCCGCTCTGCACTGCAAGTATCCCGCTGGCCCAGGCGGCCCAGCAGGGCCCCTCAGCCCTTCGGCGCCGACCGGTCCGGGTGGCCCGTCCCGCCCTTTAGGGCCAGCTGGCCCCATGGCTCCCTTTTCCCCTGGATTGCCCGGGCGCCCTGGGGGTCCGGCTGGCCCAGGACGTCCGGATCCGGGGCGGCCGTCCGCTCCGCTGCGTCCTGGTGGTCCGGCAGGGCCGCGAACTCCTCGCTCGCCATCCTTTCCCTTCGGGCCGACTGGCCCTGTTGGCCCCTTTTCACCGGGGGGACCAGGTGGACCTGGAGGACCGTGGACTCGGAACTGGCCCCCCGTTCCATTAGGGCCAGCTGGCCCCATGACCCTCTTGTCACCCGGAGGCCCAAGTGCGCCTGAGGGGGCTCGGAACTTGCCGCTCGTTCCATTAGGGCCAGCCGGCCCAGTAGTACCCTTTTCTCCCGGGAGCCCAGCTGGACCCGGGGTTCCGGGGGCCCCCTTCTCACCCGGGGGCCCAGGTGGGCCTGGAGGCCCGGGAGGCCCCATCAGGCCTCCAGGTCCTTTTGGGCCATTGGATTCTGTGGGTCCCTTTCCTCCCAGAGTTTCGGGCGGCCCGTGATAGCCTGGAATAAGTGAGTAGTTTGAAATGTATTAATTTTCATTAAAAGGGACAATATTACTGGCAGATACTCAATTCAGCACCAAGGACATGTGGTATTAGTAGAAAATGCATCTTTAATTCTCCTGTCTAGCAATAGATAGAATCATTGGGTAATAAGTTAGTCATCAATGGCAACAGACTTAATCTATACTAAACAATAAGCAGTTCACTCAAAGGTGGAAGTCTGCAGATTGCATCTTTTCCTCTGATAGAATGCATTACTTACCCTTTAGCTCCGGCGGTCTCAGTTTTGCCCAAGCGCGAAGGTTCTTCACTTCTGCTGTAAGAGTAGTGACTCTGACTGTATCAAAAAAGGGAAAATTAAAATTTTGATGACGGATCGGCAATAATTATATTGCTTTTGTTTTCAAAGAAATAATGTTTTACTGACAACTTGGGACTGGCTGGCGTTTCGGTAACTTTTCAGCTGCCTTCCTTGATCCCTAAACGAACAGTACTATTGCTTGCCGCATGGTGGCATTGTCGAAAGGTCGACCAGGCCATGTTTCCAAATGTCTAGCCTCTACCTAATCTCCAAGCAGATCATACGGTGGCAAGGCAGTATTGGCCAGAGGAGTGTTCATTACTCAAAACTGGCCAAATAGTCAGATAAAATGCCAGTAGCGGAGTTGATACATTTGCCGCCACAAGGCCTCTCCACCTTCCAGCCACTTCCGACGCCTGGTATAGGATAGTCAATTTCTTCCAAACCAAATCATTTTTGCAATGACCTCCCAACATTTTTAGTCTATTGAGACTAATTTTACAACTACCACAATTATTATTACACCACGGGGAAGTATGATGATTGTGGTGTCGTGTGGCGTACTGGCAGAATGCTCGATTCGGAACCAAGAGGTCCCGGGTTCGAGTGCTGACATGCCACCGATCTTGTGCCCTTGGGAAAGGAACTTTACACGACTTTCCTCACTTCCCTCAGCTGAAAATGAGTAATGTGTTGTCCCCTGTGTTGGAGGCGGCATTAATACAAGTTGAAAAAAAAACTTGGGTGTGCCGTCACCACGTGGTCTTGTGATTACATGTTGGAATATAAAAAAAAAGTATAAAGGTACCTGCAAAGTACGGCTGCAGTATGGCGATGAACACAGCGCAGACGATGCCGATGGTTTTCATCAGGGTCTTGCACAGGCGAAATGCTTTCGTCTTCTTGCCGTTCACACGATAGACATCTGTTGGCCCAAACAAGTATACTTTGTTAAGCTTCACAGAAGACAAATTTATTGGTGTTACAAGTCGTTCGATGTAATGTAGCCAGCTGTCGTGTTGATTCTCTATAGTCCACGTGTATCCAGAACCTTGCCTGGGGCAGTTACGTTCTTGGACACGTGGGGACTATCCAGAACCGTGCCTGATCCTAACCCTAACCCATTTGGAGATAGAACAAGATAGGCCCAGTTCCGCGGCGCGGCGGTAGCTGGCTACATTACACCGAACGACTTGTTACACCTAACCTTGAACATCAGACTCTAAACACTGGTTAGTGCTATCTAACGACAACGCCTACTGTACTTGGTTCTACTGTTCTGGATACAGTAGCATTACTGGAACCTTAAAGAACGCGGGAGGACTCAGGGTTCCCATGGCAAGAACCTCCAGACTGCAGAGTTCATTTCTGCATCACACAATCATACTCTATTACAGTAAAATGCAGACTTGGTTATTTATGTGTTGTACATATTGTAATTGTCGTGAATCTATATGTTCTGTTCGTACCTACATTGTATTTTTATGTATATGTAAAGTCAGCACAATTCAGCGGTCCATAATTTTTTAAAATGTAATGCTGCTATGCTGACCACTGCTTGAATAAAGAATAATAAATAACCGGTTTACCTGCTCTGGAGACGTACATGGCGTTAGAAACGGTCGCTGCGGCGTCAGCTCGCGACCTCCAGTCACCCTCACTCATGTCTGCGGGGTCTGAAGGAATCAGCAGGAATTATGATTCTAATTATGTTTACCGAAGGAAAACATAATGTTTTTGCTCAGTTTCTTCTTCCTCTTCTTCTTCTGTTCTCCAAACAGTGACCTCAATGACCTGAGCCAATGTTGTGTCTGTTACCATGGTAACTAGTGTTGGGTCACATCATGTTGCAATTTCATAGCAGTAGGGATATAGACTCCTGTCTGACCATGTCACCTTTCTAGTTATATTGAGAATCATCCAGAATAATCAAAGTCGAACAGGAAAAACATACTGCTGCAAAATAGGCGTTGACATACACAACCGACTCTTAAATCTTAGTTAGCATTTATTTTGAACGGGAGTCTGGAAATAAGCATTCAACAATCCCGTCCGCAAAGCAATGTTCACAGCAAAGGTTACTGATAAACATTACGCAAGCAACAAGGGAACACAAGCAGCTAATTCTGTACATAGAACAAAATAGGTAGATTAATGTGTTATCAAAATCCACACATACACAAAAACATATATACAAAGACATGTAGTGAAATGCAACATGTGCAGTATGGTCGGAAGCAATTTATCTAAAGTTTACTGATAGATAATACATGAGAGGCATCAATGGAACGTAAGCAACTAATTCTGTGCATAGAACAAAATAGGTAGATTAATGTGTTATCAAAATTAACACAAATACAAATACATATAGTGAAACAATATATGTACATTGTTACCTGCTCTAGACGTGTAGAGCGGATTGTGTATGGTGGCGCCGGCGTCCGCAAGTGACTCCCAATTAGTCTGCTGTGTGTGGGTATTGCCTGGAGGACACGGTACGGTACGGCATACATGTGATGTTTGTCAAAGCGTTAAACTCGCTGCCACCATCTACAGTAAGGGCATTCTCATATATTTATGTATTTGTAAAGGAATCGTAAAGGTATGGATTATATTTACGTCGTACTTAAGCGCACTGAAAGGTGACGGAAAGGCGGAATTTGCCTTTCAGTGGCCTTTACGACGTCGTAAAGTCAACTTAAATATTTTCCCACCTTTCATAATTCTTTACATATTGCGGAAAGTTTGCTTAAGCTTTCGTGCTGTGCAAATAGTTTGGAAAAAACACCTTAAAGTTAGACAAACAAAAGTTAGGCCACACCAAGTAATTTTTATGGATGACGTCCGCGCGCCTTCTTGTTTTGTTTTCGCGCTTTGTAGAGGTCTCCAGAGGACGTCATCCATAAAAATTACTTGTGTGACCTTACGGCATACATGTGATGTTTTTCAAAGAGTGGAATTCGCTGCCACCATGTACCATGTACCATGTACAACACTTTAGAGTTAGACATACCAAGGTATGACAGTGTGACAAAGGCTTCACGTTCATTGACGTCTGTCTTTCTTTTTTTTACCTCTAACTTCGATTGAATTTAGTTTTGGCAGTCAAGGCTTTTTATTATAATGTCTTTGTCGTGGTACATTTTTTCCTTATGGTAGTGACATACAGCATTGGGTTAATTTAAGATTTTTTTCATGACATGTGCAGTGCGAACCACATCGGCTCGATATGGTGTGCCGGCCTTGAAAAAATTGAGACAACGACAAATACAGTAAACATACTGCAGAACAAAAAGTGTCCAGAACGTTTGTTTAGCATCGTTACTAGCCTTTACGAACGTTTAACATTCTGTAGCTTTATCTCAGTTTCAAAACGACCTCTAGTTATTTGAAAGAAATAAATGAATTTCATTCAACGCTTCAAATGGAAAATATCAAACTGTTTCTTCGGTAACCTTTTTTTATCCCAACATATAATCACAAGACATGGTGACGGCACACTTAAGTTTTTTTTTTTTTCAACTTATATTAATGCCGCCACCAACACAGGGGACAATACAATACTCATTTTCACCTGAGCGAAGTGAGAAAAGTCGTGTAAAGTGTTTTACCCAAGGGCACAAGATCGGTGGCATGTCAGGACTCGAACCCTGGACCACTTGGTTTCGAGTCGAGCACTCTGCCGCTGTGTGCCACACCGTGTAGTGTGTTATTAAAAAGAACAAAGACTTCTACTAAGCACACAAACAAAACTTAAAAGAAAACTTGACAAAAAGAACATGAAAACATACACCCACCTTTGCCATTGTCCTTAGAGTACGGCTTTGACATGATGCCACTTGCCAAGCCCTGCATGGCAAAAAAACCTCTGACTCCAAACCAGGGGTTAGCTGAGTAAGACCCAGTCCTAGACTCAAAGGGGTGTATGACTTCACTAGACGGTATTAAAACAGAAGATTAAAGACAACCATATTGATGAATTATTAATTATAACGTCTGTGATACTTTTTATGTTAAGCATGCGCTTAGAATAAAACGATTGAAACGACTTTAGAAACACACGATGACGATTGTACATATGTCATAGTGGACTTTCATCAGTTTTTTTTCATATTCATATTATTCATATTCATATTATTCATTTTATTCCTATTCATTTGCGTCTGCACTTTCTTTGAGCCGCCCAGACCCTGTGTTTAGAATGAAGCGATTGAAACGGCTATAGAAACGCACGATGTCTATTGTACATATGTCATAGTGCACTTTCATCTGTTTTGCATTCATATTCATATTATTTATATTCATATTATTCCTATTCATTTGCGTCTACACTTTGTTTGATCCGCCCAGACCCTGTGTTTATAATGAAGCGATTGAAACGACTTTAGAAACGCACGATGACGACTGTACATATGTCATAGTGTTCTTTTATCCGTTTTTGTTATTCTAATTTGTTGCGTACTGCCGCGTAGTCATTTGCGTCTGGCCTGGGTTTGAATCGCCCAGAGCTTGCCCGATGTAGGACCAGTTTTTGCCGTTTAGTTCAGGGAACGGACAAGCGGTAATTCCATGCCAAAATCCTTACAACCGTTCAAGAGTGGTACGAAAGGTGCGTACGTTTGGTACCATTGATAACCAGTTTCTCATTTATTTCGTTTTTTCTGCGGTAAACACTTTGTTCTAGGTTAGAAAATAGGCATTCGTGAATAATTACATAGGGCTGGTTAAGAATTGTATAGCGAAGCTCTGTAACACCTAGCTTAGGGGCACATAATTGCCCATATGCCCTGGCGTAGGCTCTTGTTAGAATAAACTATGGTTGTGAATTAAGAACTTTGCTATAGAATCAAGTGTGTTGCATGTCAGTGTATTTATGTTTTGTATATTTTCCAGTGTGTTGTGTTCTATGTTAGAACGGACTACAGGACGAATCGCTACTGCTGTTTACATGTATTTGAAATGTATGTGTGCATGTATGCTAAATGCTAACAAAGTCAACCTCAATGTGTTAAAATTTCATTTCATTGCCTTCTGTGATTTTGTATCATTTGAAACGATACGAGTACGTACTGGAAAAGGTAAAAATGAAAAAAAAATGAAAAACCTTTTCAGTCAATTACAGAATTACTTAAGGTGATGCTAATTTATTTTTACTATTCTAGACGCCACAAAAATGCAGCAGCCACAGACTAACTGGAGAACAGTTGCCAACATGGCGGCTAGTATACCCAACCAACTGTACATCTCCACTGCGGGTAAGGAACATAAATGTAATATTCTTATCTACATATAGATATATATAGTCATACACAAGCATACAATATTTGCGTTTTCGTTTCTGTACTTTCATTTGCAATTAGCAGGCGTGTGTGAGTTTTCTAATGCGGATAAAGACTAAGTTGTTCATAATATTGGATATATATAGAGAGAATGGTTTATTCAACAACAAAAACCCTTGCAGCAAAAATGCTGAATTGCGGTTTTTTTCCACTAAAATCGTGTGCTTATCAGCATAATGCATTGCAAATCAGAAATAACAAAGACATAAATCACTATAAATATATAGATATATAGATATATATGGATTTTTCTTTTTACACAACCCTTTTTTCTTTTTACACAACCCTTACTGTATCTCCCCAGCTTACGTTTCGATGTCTGTCAGACACCTTCCACAGTACTTCAGGCAGAGGCACTGTGACAGACACCGTTGAACGTAAGCTGGGGAGATACAGTAAGGGTTGTGTAAGAAGAAAATCCCTATATTTTATGTCCTACCCACCTGATGAAATTATTTCCCGATGTTTATATTATTCTATTTTGGTATACCAGATGTGTATAGTGAGGCCCTCAGGAAGAGAAAACGTTGCAAGAGACTGTGGCAAGGACTCGGCGTGATAGTGTTGGTTACCGTGGTCGTTCTGCAGCCCTACTTCGCAGGTCAGTTTCGGTTGTCATGGTAACTGGTGCTGTAGCAGGCACCCTGTGGTGTCGGATTACGTGATTATGTAGCAAGTTGGAGGGGCCAGTCACCATATCTATGAATGTGTTTGTCTTATGCCACAGCAAGTTATGGATGACATCCTCCGCAGACTCCAAATCTACCGGTAATGCGATAAAAAAAAATTTTGTCCAAAATCTGGCGAAAACAAATGCGCGTAGTGATGCCATCCGTAAAAATTACTTGTTGTGACCTTAAGAATAAACAGAGCAGTAGTTTGTTAGGCCAGACCATGTGGAAATAAACATTATTATGCAATTGCCTTGCAAATGTTACCTGAATTAATTTCTAGTTCATTCTTGTTTTTAAAACACAGCAAGGATCGCCATTCTTTCCAAAGAGGTGGCCGAGCTACGAGAAGGAGACGGTAGGCAAGCGGCGGTCACAGGACCCACGGGCGGTACGGGCGTACCTGGACTAGCCGGCCCCTCTGGGCCACCAGGGCCGCCTGGCGAAAGGGGTCGCCCTGGATATGCCGGCCAGCGAGGGCCAACAGGCGAAAGCTTAAGGGGCCGTCATGGATCGGATGGCCCTCCTCCTGGGCCGCCAAGCGAAATGGGTCGCCCTGGACTGGCCGGACAGCTAGGGCCGCCAGGGGAAAGGAGCCTTCCCGGACCCGCAGGGCCTCCAGGGCCGTTAGGGCCGCCAGAAGAAAATGGCCGTCCCGGAACCCCTGTTCCCACGGAACCAAGAGGAGAAAAGAGCCGTCCTGAGCCCACCGGGCCGCCTGTACAAAACGAAACGGGCAGCCAGTCCATTGCCGTCACTGAGCCTCCAGGAAGTGAGCCCAGTTCGCCGACTGGCCCACCAGAAGAACATGGGCCACCAAAGCCGGTTGAGCCCAAACGGCGAAGGGGAAGTCGGAAAAAGAAAAAGAAGGGCCGCAAGGGCCCGCCGAAGTGGGCTGGGCCATGGTCATGGCAAGGGTGGTAAAACTAAGCTTCAATCTTTCATGAATGACACTGATTCATTATCAATGACCAGTAGTCATTATGGTTACCCTCGCAGAAGTCAAATTTATTTATTGTTTTTTTCTTTATTTCCTTTTCTTCATCTTCTTCCGTCCCAAACAAATAAGGTCAATGACCTGGATTAGAACCAGACGGCTGTCACCGTGGTAACTGGTTCTGTAGCAGAAACCCTGTGGTGTTGGGTTACATTATGTAGCAAGTGGCAGGACACAGTTGGAGGGGCTGGTCACTATATATATGAATGTGTTTCAGTGTGAGTTAACAGAGCTACTGTAGTTTGTTGTACTAAACAGTATGAAGTAAACAGTATGTATTTGCTTTGCAAATGTTACCTATCTGTTCTACATCTTTTATATCAGCAACATTATATCTTGTAGGGCATTGGCATGATAAATGCTACAACAGCCTTCTTTGTTGGACAACTGATGCTATTTGGGTAGAGAAGATCATTAAGTGATGAAATTTATGCACATGGGGCTCTTACTTAAAAGTACTTGCATAATAGGCGAGACATCTCAATAGTAACGTCATTGTTTTATCATACAAGCGGATGAATAGTTTACTAAATGGCCAAAGGTGTATCCTTTATCTAGTCCATACATGCAAAACATGGATGATATAGTTTGGAATGCTAAAATGCCTTGATTACTTAACGGTGCAATATAAAGTAGAACGCCAGGGGGAGCCATTTGGCTACAAGTACTAGTAATTGCAAGGAAACATACGTAAAAATGGTAAATAAAGGATCTAATCTGTAAATCTATCTGATGCTTCTACGTATATTACTGAAGGCTTTGACTTCTTTGGAGGAAGTAACTAATGGATAGACCCAAGTTTTCAATTTGTACTTTGGAGGAGTAAAAATGCTAGAGACCCGCCGACCCATATTTCTCACCAGTCTTACAGGTGCGTTTCTGCCGGTAATGTTGACATCCGATCGAATGTACCGGAGACAATAGCGAGCACGCGCCGTGTACGTTACATCGGTGTATTTGGGGCGATTTGGCGGCACAACAGCGTCTATTGTATCCACAACCGGGCCTATAAAGTTCTTAACGCCTGAATGGGATAGGGTTAGGATCACGCACGTTTCTGGGTAGACTACAGTCTGCAAGAACCTAGTTTACCCCAGGCACGGTTCTGGATACGCGTCGACTATCCAGAACCGTGCCTGGGCATAGTTTTGGAAAAATCACGGTTCTGGATATGCGTGGTCTATCCAGACCCGTGCATAAGGATGGTTCTCAGGGATCGATAAGCCCGGTTCTGGATGGAGGCTCGACGCGTATCCAAGAACGTACATTTTCCCCAGGCACGGTTCTGGATAGTCTCCGCACATCAAAGAACGTACGGGTAGACTTTGGGCACGGTTCTGGATATGCGTGGACTATCCAGAACCGCGCCTCAGCAAGGATCTATCCTATCCTATTCCCTTAGTAGAATGGATTTGGAACTATTATATCAGTATAAATGGCTCAGTGTTGTGATTTCCTACCCCACCCCTGCCCACACTTCCTGTCCTGTCTAACACGGCCTTGTTCGGTGACGTTGTTATTACTGTACCCCGTAGTGATGGTCTAGCCTACACTATGAAGGTTCTGGATAGATCGTGGTTTTGGACACGGCGGCACTTCGTGTATCCAACAGACCCGGAACAATCGGCTCTGGATACGTGTGGGCTATCCAGAATCGCGCCTGAGCTAGTTCTGGTATCCAGAACCGCGCCTGAGCTAGTTCTGGTATCCAGAATCGCGCCTGAGCTAGTTCTGGTATCCAGAACCGCGCCTGAGCTAGTTCAGGATACATCCGATCTGTTCTGTCTACAGCAGCGCCCCAAGGCGACACTTCGTGTATCCAACAGACCCGGAACAATCGGCGGGTACGGAGGGCAGGGCGCGGGGTGTCGGGTAACAATGGCGGCGCGGCCACGTGACCAGCTCCCCTAGCGCTCTACACTGTTTATCTATTGTACGGCGGGTACAAAGGAGCCAAGGTACATTTACATCCAGGTGAGGAGTCAGTCGTGGATCGGTGTACAGTCGTCTCTTCTACGTACTACGAAGACGTTTTCGTACTACGAAGACGTTTCGTGGGTCAAGGCGTACGTCAAGACGTCAGGTGAGTTGTATTAAGGACGTAGACAACAGGTGAGACGCTAAACCTGTTGCTTGGCAAAAGAGCGAAGGTACTTTTACATCCAGGTGAATCCGACGTATGTGGATCCTACATACAGCCGTCGCTTCTCCGTACTACGACGACGTTTTCGTAGGAGCTAAGGCGTACGCACGCCGAGACGTCAGGTGAGTTCTTAGAACGTAGACAACAGGTGAGACGCTACACTTAAGCTTGTTGTTTGGTACACACCTGGCGAAAGTGTTTACCTGTTGGTTACCTGCCGTGTCCACCTGACGCGTGTCGGACCCGGTCGGACTGGTCCCACTAACTCGGCGCGCCGAAGCCTTTTTTTTTAGCCTCCACCAGGCCTTTCTGTGGGAATACGGATCGTAGAATTCGGCAAAAAAGAGAGTAGAATTGGCCAGGGGAGTCCGGCCGCGTGGAGGTAGTTTCTTTCCCTCTGCGCGTCCAGTCAAACCTACAAGGCGGACAAACTCCCCTGGCAAATATTCTCCTATATATATAGCCAGCGTAGTTAGTCTGGTAGAGACTTTTTTTCCTGCCCGGACTATAAAAAAAATCTCAGCGTTAGCCTGACAAAATATCCAAAACCGTGTTTTATCCAGAACCCTGCTTTTAGCTCACCCGTGTCCAAAACCGTGTCTGGGGCAAATCTACGTTCTTGGATACGAGAGGACTATCCAGAACCGTGCCTGATCCTAACCCTGACTTATTCAGACATAGAACTAAATAGGCACGTTTCTGGATACATTAGCCCCTCTTACAAAATCACTCCAAACTTCGAGATTAACCACGCACGACTTTTGTACTCAAGTCCATTAATCAACAGTTAATCTAAAGCTAACTATTTGCATCCGGCTTTGTACAATCAGTTTTTATCAACTCACAGCCGAAACAGTTCGATATCTTGTATAGCTTGATATCTATAGTTTTGACAATTTTCTATCAGTGTGTACAAACACAAAATGACTTGAATTCTATATGTTGGTCAGAAGTACGTGGACAGTGTTTTACTCAAGGTTCAACCAGTCACAAAAGTCATTCACAGTAAACTAAGGGCATTCTAGAGTAGACTGCTTGAAACACTAAGACATAAAAATCGTAAACGTTAGATTATTAGCGATGACAGGTTTCGCCGAATTCGGGTTCCATATATCGAGAGAATATATACATGTGTTTAACACTAAACTGGTCACCTCTCTAGTCGTGACCATAGTTTAATCTCCAAGCAGATCCTAGGGTCGAAAAAGACAGTATCAAATTGGCCAGGCAGTATGAGGGTCTTGGGTGGTGTACGGTCCCAGGTATCTGGCGAATGGATACTGCCTGGCCACGTTTAATACCGTCTTTTGCCACCCTAGGATCTGCTTGGAGATTAGCCGTAGTTGACACGGTTACAACAGAAAACTGCCACACACGACTGATACTGAGTACTGGCCGCCCTGCCTCTGCGCTGGTTCACTGCAAAGACACCCGGGTCGCGGTATCATATATCGTGCTGAGAACCGTGCCTAACTTGTTCTGTGTCTGAATGGGTTAGGGTTAGGATCAGGCACGGTTCTGGATAGTCTCCGTGTATCCAAGAACGTAGATTTTCCCGAGACAAATCCAGAATCTTGTTTTTGTATGTTTATGTGCATGTGTTGTATGTGTTTTGTATGAGTATGTGTTTTTGTAATGCCATGTATCTGTATGGATTTATTAGGACTATATGTTGTTTGTTTGTTAGGACTTCAATCATATGTAACAAGTAGCTTCTGTAACATAAAAAAGGACATTTTAAAAGATAAAAAGAAAAGGGTATTTTCCCACACGACTACGCAGCGAAGTGGAACATTCCCAAACCTTGTCTCCATGTTACTATCAACACACCGGCGCCATGACGGTTTTAAAAGTCAGTCACTGTGAAACCACGCAACCAAAACATGGCAGACCGTCTCTAGTGCTTAAAACTGATTAACTGTATCGTATATTAAATCTATGATATGAGACTATATAATTGTACTTTTATTTGTCTCATACTCTGGCAATAGGGCACCTACAGTATTCCTGTCATTGTGAAACCACGCAACGAAACATCTCAGACCGTACGTTCCTAGTGCTTAAAACTGATTAACTGTATCGTTTACTGAATCTATGGTATGAGACTATACCATTATACTTGTATTTTTCTCTTAATTACTCTGGCGGAATGGAACCTATTATTCCAGTCATTGTGAAACCACGCTACGAAAACATCTCAGGCCTTTTCCGGTGCTTAAAACTGATTAACTGTATCGTATATTAAATCTATGATATGAGACTATATAATTATACTTTTAGTTGTCTCATACTCTGGCAATAGGGCACCTACAGTATTCCTGTCATTGTGAAACCAAGCAACGAAAACATCTCAGACCGTTCCCAGTGCTTAAAACTGATTAACTGTATCATTTACTGAATCTATGATATGAGGCTTAACCATTATACCTGTATTTGTCTCATACTCTGGCAATATGGCATTTACTTGGCGTGCCACGGCCGCGATATTTCACGGTAAAACCACGAAACGAAAACATTGCAGACCGTTCCTAGTGCTTAAAACGGAGAAACTTTATCATGTACTGTCACGAGCTATGAAATAGTGTAGCCTGGTTACGAAACCTATCATAGCTCCCGAGTCCAACAGCGAATTTGCGGAGGGAGATGATGTAGGACTCGGGAGCTGTAATAGGTTTGGTAACCAGGCTAGAAAAAATGCGGAACAGTAATACTTGTTTGTCAGCTGTATTGGTCTCATATTCTGGCAATATGTCACTTGTTGGACGTGGTATGACCGCGTATTATCCACCTAAAATGTACACAAACGAGTGACCCTTGGTCGGACTTTGGTATTGTTGTATACTGATCTTTATCAAGAACCATGTCCAGGCACGGTTCAGGATACTCCACACGTATCCAGAACCGTGCCTGGGGAAAATCTACGTTCTTGGATACGCGGAGACTATCCAGAACCGTGCCTGATCCTAACCCTGACAAATTCAGGCATAGAACTAGATAGGCACGGTTCTGGGTAAAATATCTCCTGCGTGATGTGAGATACATGTCTGGCAAACAGGTTCCATAGCCTGTGTCTTTTGGCCTAGTATGTGCCATTTCTTGATAGTATATGAGCTCTAGCTGTAGCTGAGTGGCTATCAAGTATATCTGTGAATCTGGGTACCCCTAGAAGTGATATAGAATCAGAAAACAGCACACTACGCTGGCTATATATAGGAGAATATTTGCCAGGGGAGTTTGGCCGCCTTGTAGGTTTGACTGTCGCGCAGAAGGAAAGAAACTACCTCCCCGCGGCCGGACTCCCTTGGCCAATTTTACTCTCTCTTTTTTGCCGAATTCTAAGATCCGTATTCCCGTAGAAAGGCCTGGTGAATGCTACTAAAAGGCTACGGCGTTTTCTGTAGTTACATTGGAGTCACCTAAAATCTACACATAAGAGTGCCGACCCTTGAACACCCACTCAGACGGAGTTTGGTCTACTCTGTTTTTATTAGCCGCCGCAAGCCTTTTGTCCCACCTGTACTGTAGCCGTTCTGGCCGCCGTACCTGTGCACAGGTATGTCCGGTATCCAGGTGTGCAAGACTACATACCTGTGCAGCTACCTGCTTATACTGACATTTGTTTGTGTGTGGCGGGGTGCACGTGGTCTGTCTGTATGGCGGAGAAGGAGTCTTGCCTTGCTTATCTTATCTTATTGAAATACCACCTACATATGCGGGTTAGTGCGCAGGTAAAATTGAAGCTGTGGAGGTGTTTCTGATGTTTACCTGCACTGGGTCTATAGACAAAGGTACAAATTTAGTCTGATCCATACTTCCTAACTTCTAAATGCTACCGGTAAAATTGTCTGGTGCAGGTATGATTTTTAGTGTACCTGCACCAGTGCAGATATGCAGAAAAAGTATTTCGAGCCCTGTAAGTGTAAGTGAATTTACCATTAGGTGTATACATGACAGCTCCTTTGTGCATTTTAAAGTGTTTGGAGTTAATTAGAGACATAATTACTTAATGGTACAAAAGCACATTGTGTGTGTTCTTATCAACTTTTAAAAAGCCGGTCTGTTGAAGATTTGATACCTTATCACACCAGATAAAAGATAGCAAGCACCCTTTTTTAGATAGATGATTTGTTAATTGACCGAGGACGTTAATTTTTGTCTACAAGATGAACCTAAAATACTCAATCTATTTGTAGTTAGTCCAACTTCCCTGGCTAGTACAGTTAGAAAAACGTTCACAGCGTTCTTGTCTGTCCCTTTCTGTTTGCATGTCAAATTCTGGTGGCAGAATTATGGCTGGTTTATTGCTGTTTATTTCATACGTGCGTCTTTGCACGTACTAAAATGCATAATAGTATTGGCTGCTCTGAGCATTATATAGGCAGACATACACAGTCATCTAGAACATGAAAACTACAAGTATACAATTAGGACTAGAGGATAAAAACAATCATCATCATGATCGTACAACTAAAAGAACAAAAAGTCTTGTTGTAAGAAAAGTCACGTTTATGATGGGCCTTAAATTCTGTGCCGTTAGTAATATCAAGGAGGGTCGTCATTTGTTGTACACAGAACCGTGCCTGTCTAGTTCTGTACCTGAATGGGTTAGGGTTAGGATCAGGCACGGTTCTGGATAGGCTACGCGTATCCAAGAACGTAGATTTGCCCCAGGCACGGTTCTGGATACGCGTGGACTATCCAGAACCGTGCCGGAACATGATTTGGAGTACTATATACTGGCTACATATACAACAGGCCATAAAGTCTCTACCATTAGTTCCATGAAGGAGGTTACCCTCTTTATTTACTCTAGTTTTGGGGTTATTTTTGGCGTGTTTTTAGGCTTTTTATTGGCGTTTCTTTTTCTTTTTGCAATGTTCACCCAAATTACAATGCAAACAAGAAACCCCAATAAAAAAAGCCTTTAAAACACGCCAAAA